GGAGTACTTCCGTAACTAGCCAGTGTCACAGTACAGTACCGGGGTACTTATGTAACCAGCCAGTGTCACAGTAAAGTACCGGGGTACTTCTGTAACTAGCCAGTGTCACAGTACAGTACAGTGGAATCCTGTTATAACGAGAGGGAGGGGACCGGTGCGAAATGTCTGTTATAGCAGGATTCTCATTACAAAGGATCCAGTAATAAATTCAAGGGAAATGGTAAAGTAAAGTAGGCCTAATCTATGAGTTTGGCGCTCTGTTTATTCCTTTTTGTATTTCCCCTGATGATGATTTGTTCAACTTGATCTCAAGGTATTACTTGATCAAAAATCGAATCAGGTTTCTTTCTCTAGCACTAGCAATGTTGACAAATCGGCCTTGGCGATCAGTAAGAAGGGGCTCTGGCTCTAGGCTAACTCACCCGCAGTGTTGTCCCCCACCCCACCACACCCTGTGGTGCGTTGCGTCTGCTCGCGCACGTCATACATTCACTCCATCCATCTATCACAGCATTGTGACCTCTCCATCCTGCACCAGAGAAGTGAGAGGCACGGTATGCCTAGATAATTTAGACTGGGCTGGCCTATCACGCGATGCATTCTGCTTGTGTCTGCGCACGCCACACCCTCTCCACTCATTCGCTCCAGCCTTCATTGTTGGTTCGCGTGGGCTCTCCCATTCCTTGTTTCGCTGGATAACCGACAACTTTCTCAACTGGCAAGGTTTTATAATGTTTAATTGGTCTGTGTCTGTGCACAGCAGCAGCAATTTTCCGTTATAAACGACTCGCGTGACGGTCTGATTGCGCAATAGCAGTATTTTATTTACAAAGATAAAGAAGGGAAAAAAACGGGGTTTTAGAACAGTGTCTTTATAACAGACTTCTCGTTATTTCAGGACTCGTTATAAGTGGACTCCACTGTACCAGAGTACTTCTGTAACTATCCAGTGAACTGTCCCTGACAATAAATTACAAGGTTTTCTTTTCCTGCAGGTGGCGGGGAATTTTCACTTGGCACCTGGAAAAAGTTTTCAGCAGAAGCATGTTCACGGTAAGTTGTTTGTTTGTTAGTTTGTTTGTTATACTTAAACAGTTTAGTGAACGTTTGTTGTCGTGTCGAGACAGTTAAGTGAACGTTTGTTGTCGTGTCGAGACAGTTTAGTGAACGTTTGTTGTTGTGTCGAGACAGTTAAGTGAACGTTTGTTATTGTGTCGAGACAGTTTAGTGAACGTTTGTTGTTGTGTCGAGACAGTTAAGTGAACGTTTGTTGTCGTGTCGAGACAGTTTAGTGAACGTTTGTTGTTGTGTCGAGACAGTTAAGTGAACGTTTGTTATTGTGTCGAGACAGTTTAGTGAACGTTTGTTGTTGTGTCGAGACAGTTAAGTGAACGTTTGTTGTCGTGTCGAGACAGTTTAGTGAACACAAACGCGCGTGCGGGAATCGCCACTGTGCTGCACTCTTGACTTTTTATCCACAGTGTCCTCACGATAACTTTGTCCTCCTTTGTCTTCCACAGTGTCCTTTACGATAACTTTGTCCTCCTTTGTCTTCCACAGTGTCCTCACGATAACTTTGTCCTCCTTTGTCTTCCACAGTGTCCTCACGATAACTTTGTCCTCCTTTGTCTTCCACAGTGTCCTCACGATAACTTTGTCCTCCTTTGTCTTCCAGTGTCCTCACGATAACTTTGTCCTCCTTTGTCTTCCACAGTGCACGATTTACAGTCCCTGGGAGGACAGAAGGTGAGTGCCACTGTACATTGCCCTGCTCACAGGCCCCTAGACATGGCTTTCTCTCTGTATCATACCAGACACAGGCCCCTAGACATGGCTTTCTCTCTGTATCATACCAGACACAGGCCCCTAGACATGGCTTTCTCTCTGTATCATACCAGACACAGGCCCCTAGACATGGCTTTCTCTCTGTATCATACCAGACATGGCTTTCTCTCTGTATCATACCAGACACAGTCCCCAAGACATGGCTTTCTCTCTGTATCATACCAGACACAGTCCCCAAGACATGACTTTCTCTCTGTATCATGTGTCCTATGTCAGATATGTCTCATGTCCTATATCAGCAGACCTGCCACTCATCCCGATTTAGTCGGGATATCCCGTTTTTTTCCCCCAAATCTCAATCCTCCCGATTTTCCCGATTTCGATCTCCTGTATCCCGATTTTTTGTCCCAGTCCGCTGTTGTGCCGGATCTTTCTAAAAACTTACTCTGCCTTCTCCTTTATCGCGGGAAGCACCCGTCGAACTTTTTGTCAGTAGGAACTCGGAGCACTATTTCCCGAAATATCGATGCCGCATTTAGTAGTTAACTTGCCCCAATTTGTGTGTGATCTTTTCCCGCTCTCAGAATTCTCCGATGATAGCCTGGTAACTGTTACAATTTGGGACATTTAATAATCGATTATATTCGTAGCTCCGCTGTTACTTTTAAAACAAGCCTTGTCCAAAGTCTGATAACTGCGCGTTCACATCAAACACTCGGACAAGCGACAGTCGTTCTAACCCTTACACAACTACATACTACATGTAACTGCGCTGACAAGACTAACATACGGCCGTTATCGTTGCTTTAGTTTGAACGCATTATGAGCGATAAGAGTTTTGTTGGTCGGCCGCCGTCAGTAGAATGACTGTCGCTCATCCGAGTGTTTTGTGTGAACGTGCAGTTAGTCGGACCCATTAGTAAAATTGTTTCAATCACGCATTCGCGTCACGTGACATATCATTGCCGTGTGAGTTCTGCGTGTCGGGGACCGTCCGTTGACGGGGTCAACTTAAGTTAATTTATTTCGGGACTTATTGGTAGGGGTGTGGGGGGGGGGGGGGGGTATAGACACTTGGACTAGGATGCTTGACGCGATGCTTCAGGATTTACAAAAAATAATGATGACTCGCACGCACACACACACACACACACATGCAAACAAACACAGACACACAGAGGGCATATAGGCCAAGGAATTTATGGACACCCCTGGAAAAATTTTAAGTCAGCTTTGGCAGTCACCTTGGTGATTTGCTGTTGATCCCGATTTTTTTAACCAAATTCCGATTTTTTCTCCATGAGATCCTGATTTTGAGGTTTCATCGAGTGGCAGGTCTGCCTATATCAGAGATGTCCTATGTCAGAGATGTTCTATGTATGTCTTATGTCCTTTATATCAGAGATGTTCTATTCCTATATCAGAGATGTCCTATGTATGTCTTAAGTCCTATATCAGATATGTCCTATATATATATAATCAGAGTTGTATCCCCCCCCCCCAGTTCAACGTGAGCCACCGCATCAACCACCTGTCGTTCGGCCAGGACTACCCCGGCATCGTCAACCCTTTGGACAACGTCAATGAACGAGTCGAGTCATGTGAGTGCCGTCTGCAACACTGCAGCCTCTCTAGAACCACGGCGTCCCAAACAGAAAAATAGGTCGTTATAACTTATACATTGGCGTTATAGAGACACAACCAAATATATTACTAATGGTATTGGGAAACAATCGGGACCTGGGCACCATGTCGTTGTAGAGAGGATGTGGGTCTACCGAAGGTCGTTGTAGAGAGGATGTGGTTCTATCGAAGGTCGTAGAGAGGATGTGGTTCTACCGAAGGTCGTTGTAGAGAGGATGTGGTTCTATCGAAGGTCGTTGTAGAGAGGATGTGGTTCTATCGAAGGTCGTTGTAGAGAGGATGTGGTTCTACCGAAGGTCGTTGTAGAGAGGATGTGGTTCTATCGAAGGTCGTAGAGAGGATGTGGTTCTACCGAAGGTCGTTGTAGAGAGGATGTGGTTCTATCGAAGGTCATTGTAGAGCACACTTGTTCAGCCGGTCAGATTTTTCACCCTTTAGTCCAGCACTTTTACGGTTATTTCCCCTGACCGAGCTGTTCAAATGCAGCAAGGGGGTAATTATTGTAACATAAGGTGTCTTCACAGCTGACTCATTTAGACTAATAAACAAGAGAGTATGGCGTTATATTTACTACCTGTTCCTCATGATGGTGGTTTGCTACCACACACAACTCCAGTCAAGACTTTTGTTCCCCTGGGAGGCTCAACATGGGTTGCCGAGGCCAAGATTTATACGGCCCTCCCAGGCTCCTAAATGGCCACAAAGCCAACCTTCGTGAAGGAATTGTGAGTCCCACAGAGTTCTCCCAGTGTTTTGGTAAAGACAACGTTGTTGATCCTCTTCTGCTTTACTTCACCTCTCAACAAGTTTAAAAGGGACCTTACATATTCACCGTTTGGACGTTTGAAAACTGGTAAGTAAAAATCAGTTACTAGCTCCCTCGTGTTATTGTTTTAAATTAGTTATTCTTTAAAATGAGCACAATATAAAGAAAACACACTTTATTACTCCATTGTCTTATTATTCTGATGAATAGTTGATAGTATTTAGAGCATGAGAGAAAGCTGTGTTACAATTAATGTTATTATTAATATGAGGAGACTGAAATCCTTTATCTACGTGGTTTTGTCATACCTGTATAAATTACTATGACAGAAAGAAGTAAATACAATATATGAACAAGATTAGGTTTTTGGCTCCACCTTTATTGAAAATATCAACCCTTCTTTTTGCTTCTTATCTAAATGATGTACACAGACACTGATAGTTGCTTACTTTTTGCTTTTTACAGATACCAGGTCTCGGGTATGCATACTTTTGGAGAACACATGGATAATCTCCAGTCTTTATGTCGCTTTTGTGGCAGCAAGTTAGGGGCAAAATCTGCCAAGCCTAAGGACTGTAGTGCCTACAGGGATTCTATCTGGACAGTTTACGCCATCAACGTACAGGATGACGTTCCTGGCCAGCACCCAAGCAAGATGTGTCAGAGGTGCTACAGGACAATGCTCAGTTATTGGAAAAAAAGATATTAATGATGGCTGACATGCCTGCAAAGAGAGCTAGAGAAATCTCTTGGGAGCCCTACAACAGTGAGTGTAACCAATGTAGTACATGTAGAATGTCTCAGAAAAAAGGGATAGGGGGTCGCAAAAAGAAGCCAGATTTTTCACACAATGAAACATTTTTACTTTACAACCTAAGCCAGGATAATATATTTAGTTCTCTTTATGATAATAGCACTATCAGCTTTTTACCCAAGATGAACAAACAAGAAAAATGTCATTTTAGTCTGGAGAGCATGCCATCATCCTTTAAAGAAAAGTTTGAGTGTAGATTATTTTTGTCCTTTTTTACACACCATGTTGTCAAAACTAAGTGTAACCACTATTTTTGTGCGGTCTGTCTTTCAGCTATTTCTAAAATGTCTATTTCAAATTCAGTGCCATGCCCCACCTGTGATATAACAAATAAAACTTGAATCAGCTGAGTCTATTTTACTTGGACAGCTTCATAATTTAAAAAATCAAGTGCAATCTCATGTTTACATTCTGTAAGATATAAAGAGTATGTATCCCATTCTTGCTGTCTGGGTGAATCTACATCAACATCCCAAGCTAATACTGATATAATGTCAGAATCAGAGGACTTTTCTTTTCATTCAAGTTCAACAGCTCCTGGTTATGACTTTTTGTTAACTAGTACCCCACATAACAAAAATGAAATGTGGACGCAAGTATTTCTCCTTTCAAGATCAACCCATCTGTTTCAGTTGAATCTGTAGTTTCACCATTATATGTAGATGCAAGTACATCACCCTTGAAAAGCAACGCATTGGTTTTGCTTGAATCTACTGTACTTGAACTACTAGACAGTGAGCAGGCCATTTATTCACGTCTTACAAAGCGTAAAATTAATACAGAGGATGGTGATATGTTAGTTTGCCGAACAAGGGGTCAACCATTGTGCTTCACACACTAAACTTAGTAAAGCCTCGTACAAAATCACTACTTGCTAGGTCGCCATTTAAGAAGTAAAGGTCAAACAAACTAGCTAAAATTAGGACTTTGATTTCAGGGGACAAAGATTCAGGTAAAATACAACACATCACAGATTTAAAAACCATCAGAAAAGCAGGCAGATGTCAGCGAGACAGAAGGTCTTAGAGCAAACTTGTCAAGTGTCTGTGGTATTTCTTTCAAAACACACACAAATCTTTCTTGGACTCAGTACAGAAAAGCAACAAAATTTCTCAAAGACAAATTAACATTCCAATCAGAATTATACTTATTTCAGGATATTTTCTGGAATATTTTCCCATGCTCAAAATATTGTGTCCATTACTTGTCTTTTATTTCTATGTCCGCTCAGTTTATTATTGCTGTACAAATGCTATTTATACAAGTATTCGGAGTGAAGTCTGAAGCTTTCTTTTATCATATAGTTCTGCCAGTCTTTCGTGTGCAGTATTCTATGTCAGCAATAGAATAATTTATACTGAAATTGGAACAGTTTGCATAATGAATAAATATTTTAATTTATTTTGTTTTGTCTTTGTTATTACCATTAATGTGATCCATTTTGGAGTTTGTGTATGTGTGTGAAGAGCTCTTATAAACTCTGGGTCAAACTTCTTAGCATTAGGTACCAGATACCTCAAGCAATGTGCCATCTGGTACCACTTCCACTGAAGGATGGACCCCCGTAAACTACAGGGAAGTTGAGATAACAATCACAAGGTAATAAATCTCAGACCTTGTTCTAACTCTTTTCTTAACCCTGGTAGCTTCAGCCCATTCTCCTTTCCTTTAATTTCTTTACTGCAAAGGCACAATGTGGTTGGGAAAAGAGAATTAGTCGGTGGAAGTCTAGACTTGGCAGGCTGAATACTTTCACTGACATCTGAGCACTGGGGAGTTTCCCCCACTAGGGTCTCACACACAGTGATTGAGTAATGAACATAGTACTTGGGAAAACTATCCTTGTGAACCAGAAAACTCTGTAAAGAACAGAGGACACAATTGAAAACGGACAATTTCCCTGTAAAGTTAGCTGTCGAGGCACTGAATTTCTTTCTTGCATTAGAGCCACCAGGAACACCTAAAACCCCATAGAAAGGCAGGAAGAGGAGTAGAGTAGATCTAAGAACTTGATTTAGTTTATTTGAGACATAAAAAGAGGGAAACTATTCTTATATAAGTGTAAAGAGAGAAAATTATCAGATGGAAAGTGGAAGCCATTTTGTTTTTTTTAGGAAAGAACAGGAAGTTCTGTATTGCCTCAGGGGCTCGATGGTTTGCCAGGTATGATAAACAAGGGAAATAACTAAATAATCCAAACTGAACAAGTGTGAGAGAGAATGTGGTTCTATCGAAGGTCGTTGTACAGTAGTCTCCGCCTAAACGCACGTTGCTCGGGAGGGCTCCTTAGCCTGTGTTTATACGGAGCGTGCGTTTACATGAACCTTTGCAAGGGGAGGAAGAGACGCAGTCATCTCAATTCCTATTACTCTAGTGACCTCCCTTGGAGGGAGGGGGTCATTTTGGCAGATAATGACGACACGTGAATGTTTTGTGAAGGATTCCCCGACAGGGGTTAAGAATACAAAGGCGTTGAATGGGGAGGGGGGGGGGGGGAGAAAGACAAACTCAAGGTAATGAATGAATGCACTGTAAATGTCGGGCACAGATAGCCTACGAGGAAACTGTTGGTCATAGTCATAGAGACGACGGACCAGCCACGTGGCTTTCCAAGCGACCACCCCCGACCGTAAATTCATGCAGAATCATCCCCGAGAAACATTTTCTCTTGTGATTCGTTGAACAAGTACGTTATTAGTTCTTCGAGTGCAGCTGATTAGGCTTACTTGGCTAATCTTTCTAGTGTTTTACGGCATTCGCGCGTGTCGCGCATCAGGCCTAGATTTAACTAAACATTACACGCAGTCACTCAAACACTCTGAAACCTTCTCTCAAAGATACATTTCCAGTGACCAATCAAAAAACATTTCAGTCCCCCCTCCCCCTACATTTAACCGACCAGCCCTAGATCGAGACCTATGCGTCAGTGAAAAGTAGGGTGTGTAAACGCAGTCCATCACTCTCTTTGTACAGCGTGAGGGGCACTCTCACCAAATATCCGGTTTTCTAGTAAATTCTAGGCTTGTCTTATGCAGGCTGTGCAGGTTGTAGTGAAAATTTCCCCTTGCCAAGCTTAACATGTCGGCGTGTTTCGCAGATCGGAGCGAGCGTTTAGAGGGAGTGACCGTGCGTTTGTACGTCTAAATTATATAGTAAAAAACCCGTCAGATGATGAAAGCTTGCGTTTGAGCGGAGCGTGCTTTTGTATGGCGTGCGTTTAGGCGGAGACTACTGTAGACAGGCAGCAGTGTATCTGTCTGTGTAAACTTTTCACCTGTACAGGTCAAGCTAGGGAAACAAACAAACAAGTGGAAGTGAAGATGGATACTTTATTGTCAAATTTTCACATCATGCTCGCTCTCCAAGCAACTCCAGATCACAGCATGTCAACACACTGACCCCCCGCACGCACGCACGCACACACATCAGGAAGAAGCTGTACTTGCACAAGGCATTTTGTCCTTCATTTCCACAAGGCATTTATGGTCGTTGGTTCGAGGTAGGGCCTACTGTTTTCCTACCAATTTTTCTCTCCTTTGAAAGCCAAATGCTTTGAGCTTACTGTGAACACTAAAAACACAGGGACAGTTTTGACGTAGACACCCTACGGTGTCAGAAACATCGGCAAATAAAGCGGTGTCCTTGACACACTGGGGACCCGTGGTTCGTTTCTTGCGTGAACAAAGAGCCAGGTCAACATCTTATGCCGGTGCCAATGCCCATGAAAGTTCCGAACGTGCCGCCGCCTTGAAACATCGTCTTCCCAACAGTGGAGAAAAGCTCTCTGCCTCGCAACCCATATCTGTCCACGAGAAAAGACAAATGTATATATATATCTGTCAGCGAGAAAAGACAAATGTATATATATATCTGTCAGCAAGAAAAGACAAATGTATATATATATCTGTCAGCAAGAAAAGACAAATGTATATATATCTGTCAGCAAGAAAAGACAAATGTATATATCTGTCAGCAAGAAAAGACAAATGTATATATATCTGTCAGCAAGAAAAGACAAATGTTCTGTCAGCAAGAAAAGACACATGACAAATGTATATATA